CGTCTGCTGCTGTCACAGTGAGGATGTGCTGAGCCGTGTCCTCCCGGTCCAGCGCCCTCACAGTCACCAGCTCGTAGTAATTCTTATAGGCTGGCCGCAGGGAGAAGAAGAGCTGATGGTCGAGGGCACAGGACACCTTGCCGTTGGCACCGGCATCCCTGTCCCTGACAGTAAAGAGGGCAACCACCGTGCCGGGCGCTGAGTTCTCGGCGAGGGGACTGCTGAAGGAACTGACCAGCAGCTCGGGTGCGTTGTCATTCACATCCAACACCTCCACCAACACCTTGCAGATTGCCGAGAGTCCCCCACCATCTGTGGCTCTCACACGGAGTTCATGAGTCTGTGCTGCCTCAAAGTCGAGAGGCTTTGAGAGTTTAATTTCTCCACTCCTGGAGTCAATCTCAAACGCGGAGTCACTCTGACTGACTGGTTGACTGAACTGATAGGAGATTTCTCCATTAACTCCCGCATCTGGATCAGTTGCCAGCACAATCAGGACCAAAGATCCCTCTGGTGCGCTTTCCAGGACCTGCCTATGGTAAATCTTTTGTGTGAAGACTGGAGAGTTGTCATTGACATCCAGAATTGTAATGTGAATTTGGGTGGTCCCACTCCTGGGTGGAGAGCCCCCATCCACAGCAATCACACTGAAATCCATCTCTGCCTGCTCCTCTCTGTCTAGGGGCTTTTCCAAAACAAGTTCAACGTATTTGTCATCGTCAATCTGGCTGTCGAAGGAGACGCTAAAGTATTTATTCTCGGGAGAGATGCTGTACTCCTGGATGCTGTTTTTGCCAACATCGGGGTCCCGAGCAACCTCCAGAGGAAAACGAGAGCCCAAGTCGCTCGTTTCAGGGATCTTAAAAGTGACTCGTTCCTCAGGAAAAACGGGCGAATGATCATTAATGTCGTCGAGGGTGACCTCGACCCGAAAGAACTGCAGCGGGTCGGCCAGCAGCAGCTCGAAGGGGAGCGTGCAGGTGTCGGCCTGGCCGCACAGCTGCTCCCGGTCCAGCCTGTCGGCCACGACGAGGCGGCCGCTGGCGCGGTCGAAGCGAAAATGCTGGCGGCCGTCCTCCGACACCAGGCGGGCG